TATTATTATTATTATTATATATAGGATGAATCTTAAATACGTACATACAGGGTTACAACTTTTTAATTGCTTATTTTCTTATTTTTAATACTTTTTAACATAGTAACCTTTATTTACATAACAATAACTAGATCTTTATAAAAATATTTTTATGGCCTGTTCTCCTTGCTACTCCTATTCGGCAATGGTTTTCGGCAGTGTATGACATTTATTTTCATCTTTCTTTCAATTAAATTTCCATATATAATATGTATATTGTATATATTGCCATACAAACCGTCTTTCGGGACAGAAGGTTCTTTGTTCCTTTCCCATTTTTTTTTCTCTACAATGTAGAGCCTTAGCCCCTTCTTGGGTTTTGAAGTTTATATTCTTTTCTTTCTTGTAGTTAGGTTGTTCTACCAGTTTGTTTGGATACTTTTTGTATATTTTTCAGAACCAGGTTACGTTTTCTCCTAGATATTTTTTTCATTTTAGGTTCTCTCATCCTCTCCTTGCTTTATCTATTCTAATTACTCTTATTACTTCTTCTCTTTCTTCCATACTTATTTCCTCGTTTGCACGATTTTCTCTGGTATATTTCATACAAATCGTTTATTGTCCTTTATTTAATTTATTTGTGTAAAATAATTTCCATATTTTTTATCATTTCTTTGGTTTGTGTGGATTTTGTTTCTTCTATCTCTTGTCGCTGTGACTTCTCTCCTTTTTCATCTTCCCCTTTTCATTCCTCTTATTGTAGTTCAAAGATATCGAGTATTTGTTTTGCATTCTTTCTGTAATTCCTTTCCAAATTTTTCCCATGTGTCCCTTTTCGCATGTCAAGTTGTATTTCTCGATATTCTTTCTTGTCTGTCTGTCTTCTTCTAATTTAGTTTGAATATATTTTTTCCATGCTTGTTTCTTACTTTTTATTGCGGTTTTTGCTTCCTCTTCTTTCCACTTAAAACCATATTCGCAGAAACTTTGGTTATAGAAATCACAAAACAATGTTTTACATTTATTTTATACATTTTATATGATATGATTTATCTTGTATGAATAAAAAGTGAGGTAGGTTCTACTTTATTCATCAGTCATCCCATATGATCACCTTCAATGATTTACTGTTCATATATGGGATGTTTCACGGCAAGCGGATTGCCGACCTGGACAAAAATTGCGTGGAACGATCGAGACGTGTATGGGCTCAAAATGTTCGTCTAGTAAGAAGCTTTGAAACGCAGAGTGGTACTTTTCAAAAATCCAAAATGTTGAACCGGCGGACGAAATTTCGGAAAATCGAACGATTACCACCAAATTTGATATATGGGGATTTTTGGGGTCGTTCATCATATATCTTAAATTGGATTTGCAAAATTTAAGATGGCGGATTCAATATGGCGAAAGATTTTATCCGCCATACTGGATTTGTCATTTTTTAACGACCTCCGAAACCCCCCATTTACCAGATTTGGTGGAAATCGGTTGATTTTCAGAAATTTCGTCCGCCATCATGGATCCACCATCTTGAATTTTGCAAATCTGACCTCGGATTCGCAATCAGCGACCTCAAAAACTCCCGTATACTAAGTTTGGTGTAAATCGGTTAATTTTTTAAAATTCAGTTACCAAATTGGTTTTTTGACCGCTATGTTGGATCCGCCATTTTGGATTTTTTCATCCAACCACACTAGCTTTTAAGAAGTGTCCCTCAGCTACAATTTGAGCTAAAAAATGACCCGATTGGTTACGAATTTCTTTTTCACAACCCTTTTTTGCCGTACACTCTGGTTTTCTCCAGCTTCCGACCACCATATTGGGTCCGCCATTTTGGATTTTTGAAAAGTACAACTCTGCGTTTGAAAGCCTCTTACTAGACGAACATTTTAAGGCCTTGCACGTCTCGATCGTTCCACGCAATTTTTGTCCAGGTCGGTGATCCGCTTGACGTGAAACATCCCATATGTATTCACTTTTTATTCACTACGAGTCAAGACTACGGTTGTTAGTAATTCGAGAGCTGAGACAACATTCCTAAAGAGTGATGTGTTTTTTAATATAGGTACTAAAAATATGCACGACTTCAGACATGAAAAAAACAATAAATTCGAACGTGTACCGATGAAGTAATGTAACCATGGGAAAACAACATTTATTAACAAAGAAACATCTACTACATAATTAAATGGGTCATGCGATCTGTACTCATAGTAAACAAGAAAATAAAATTCATATTTCATAGAAGTCTGCAAATAACGAAAAACTTACTTGCACGTGGTCAGTTGACAATCGGTATAAAATCTATATAAAGACTAACCACCAAAAAACTTATCAGCAAATAGTAAACAAGCAAACCCAAATAGTGAATAAGGTGAACAAACAAACAAACGAAGATAATGATGCGACTACAATCAAATGGGAATATCCTAAGAGAAAACAAAAACGTCGAAATGTTTTGTTTGGTTAAGGGATAATAGATAATACATTTTTAAGATATGACATCAAAAATTTCTGAAATCTAGAAGTTTAATGTGTTTGTGGCAGCAGACTTTGTCAATAATTTAAAAAATTCGAAAATACAGCCGGAAGGTGTTGGAAATAATGCTTGTATTTCAAAGAAGGCAACCCATCAAGACCACCAAGCAAATATAGTAAATCACAAATACAGGGTGGTCCGAATTTTATGCAGGACACTTCGAGAGCAGATAGATCTTTTTAAAATAGTAGGTGTTTGCCTTATAAACATAGGTCTGGAACGGCCTCGCTTTAGAGATACAGGGTGTTGAAGTTGTTAAAAAAAACAATATTTTTTGTTTATATCTCCGGAATCCATAGACCGATTTCAAAAAAATTTAGTACAGATAATGTATGATAGTAGGCCTTGTATTCCCTAAAATATGAGCTCTAAATATTCAACCAGTGGCGTACAACTGGACAGGGTCACACCCTTTTTTATAAAAAAGACCTACGCCACTGTATTTTTTACAAGTTATTGTAACGAATTTGTATTCTAATGCACAAAATACGTAAAAGATCTAACTTGAATTTTTTCCCTAAAGTTCACCGTTCTCAAGTTATTCATACCAATACAATCCTCTTGTGGCAGACACTTCTAACCATAATATTACAGGAATATTTATATTTATGCTTAAAAGCAAGTACAATTTGTAAGCACATCAACAAAATTCTTTACACTCATCGCTTTCATCTTTTTGGATTAAAACAATGTTTGGAAAATCACGACAAAGGAATGAAAGGCACAGAAATGAAATTTTAAAAGCATTTGATGACGATCCTCGGCTAAGTAGGTAACGAAGAACGTCTCGGCAACTTGGGGTGAGTAAGTCGAAAATTTGAAAAGTTCTACATAAGAATGGCAGTAATCCGTACCATTTACAACCTGTGCAAAATTTACTTCCGGGAGATGCAGAGAGACGCAGAGAGACGCCTGAATTTTTATCAATGGTTGTTTGAATTCTTACTAGAAATACTTTGGACCGATGAGGCTACGTTCACAAGGTGAGGGGTAGTGAATTTTCACAATCTGGATATTTGGTCACAAGAAAATCCTCATGAAATTCGGAGTCATTTCTAAACTTTCTAGAAAACCATCTATTTGAATTATTAGAGGATGTTCCATTAAATATACGACAAGATAGCTGGATACAAATGGATGGTGCTCCTGCGCATTTTAGGAGAATAATATAAGAATGGTTTAATGAAAATTATATGAGATGATGGACAGGTAGAAGACCAAATGCCAATGTCAACCATAATGGTGCAGAGGGTCCAGTGTCTTGGCCAGCCAGACCGCTAGATCTAAACTCTCTGGACTTCTATGTTTGGGGTGATCTACCTGAAAAGTTTATTCTACTCTAATAGATACTAGATCACAACTACTGCAGCGAATAGAAGACGAGTGTAATGAATTAAAAGAAAACTACCACATGATATTAGCTTCAATTAGTTCCAATAATAGAAGATGTCAAAAATGTATGGTTGTGGGTGGTTCGCATTTTGAACAATTGCTGTAAATTCGCAACGTCAATTTTGTTTCTTGTTTAGTTGTTGTTGCTTGGTAAATGTATTTTTATTATTATTTTGATTTAAATTGTTCTTATTTGTAAAGATAATGCCTTCAGAGAAAACTAAAACACACCAGGAACACTACCTCCTAAGTGATATGGAAATAATTTTGTTGATGTGCTTACAAATTACACTCACTTTTAAGCATAAACATAAATATTTTTGTAATATTAGATTTGAAGTGTTTGCCACAAGGGGATTGTATTTGTATGAATAACTTGAAAATGGTGAACCTTAGGGAATAAATTCAAGTCACCTTTTTTACGTATTTAGTGCATTAGAATATAAATCCGATACAATAACTCGTAAAAAATACAGTGGCGTAGGTTTTTTTTATAAAAAGGGGTGACCTTTGTCCAGTTGTACACCACTGGTTAAACCTTTAGAGCTCATATTTTGGGGAATGCAAGGCCTACTATCGTACATTATTTGTACCAAATTTTATTGAGATCGGTTAATAGATTCCTAAGATATAAACAAAAAATATATTTTTTTAACAACTTCAACACCATGTATCTCTAAAACGAGGCCGTTCCAGACCTATGTTTATAAGGCAAACTTCTACTATTTTAAAAAGATCTATCTGTCCTCGAAGCTTCCTGCATAAAATTCGGACCACTCTGTATATACACTTAAATATAAATATTTAAATCCCAAAGTTTAGTACGTAATTATGATGAAATTAGTGAATCAGATTAAATCATTAACACGTTGTTTGTCTGAAACTAGAATTGTGAATGCAATATTGGAATTAAAATTGGTCACTATAATACAGATTGATTCCTTCCCAACTTATCCAAAAAAATTGGGAATAGATGCGGCATGAGAAATATCGTAAACATTTTTTTGTAAAATCCTTATAATTTTCGAGAAAAAAGTTATTGAAGTTATAGTACTTTCAACCATTACATAGCTGGACAACTGTAGTCTCTAATGTCATTCGCAATACGCGTGGAGAGCAACGTGGCCTCATCGACATACTGAAATCCGACTGTTTACAATAGTTTTTTAGTAGTTAGTGTCAAAAATGGCTTGCGTGTATAGCAATTCGGAGTTGATGGACATCGTTTTAATTTATGGTGAAGAAAGACAATACCATTTGTTCGTAGAAACTGTGTAAGACGGGTCCAAATGTGTTTACACGTCGGTGGACAAAATTTTGAACAGTTGTTGTAACAAAAGGTATGTCAAATTATTTTATTAATTAAAACCACAAATTAATTTCATTAATTAATAGTATAGTATTGTATAATTTATTGATCACTCATATACAGAAAGTACATTTCCAGTCATATAGTCTAAATTATATTACAAACATTCAAGGTTAACTATAATAAGTAAAATCGTTCATATATTATATTATAGGTTACAAACTCGTCCACACTAAAAAAACAATCATCTAAAAATAATTTTTTAAAAAAATTATTGAAATTTCCAAGTGACATTTGTTTTACATTATTGTGTTTAAAGTATTTAACTAATTTGTTATACAAATCCACTCTGAATTTGTTATTCTTCGTAATATTAATACGAGAGAAAGGTATTATAATATCCGTGCCATGTCGGGTGCCATAATTATGTGTATCCATATGGATGGGTTGATAAATTAGGCAAATTCTGGTGAACTAGTTTACCTACGACCACTACTGTAAATACTTAAAAACACACCGTCTGCGATCAATGTAAGATTCCTATTACGAACGGTAAAAAAATCGCACAGCTTGGTAAAAAATCGTAGTTTTCCTAGCGACCGCCTAGCAACGGTCAATACAATACTGTTTGCTAGGCGGTAGCTAGGAAAACTGTACGATTTTTTTACCAAGCTGTGCGATTTTTTTACCGTACGTAATAGGAATCTTACATTGATCGCAGAC